AAGTCACTTTAATTCCTGTTAGTCTCAGTTTCCTCCTCTTAAAATAGGGATAATACCAACACCTGCCTCCCAGGGTTATAAGCACTTAGCACACTGCCTGGCGCATAGTAGGTGTTTAATAAATACTTGTTTCTCTCCTTCCCCACTTAGTTGTTTGTTGTTATTGTGTATTCAATTAAACCAATTTGCATAATGTTTACACACTTAAAAGCACTTGAGATTTGCCAGTTATTGTTATTCCAGAGCACAGAATGTTCCATTTCCTGTCTCTTCCTTGTCCTTTTAATTCCATTTCTTTCAGAGTAAGTGGATGCTCAGAGAAGTTAATTAATTTCCACGTTCAGCTCTGTTCAGTTCCACTAACACGGAACCTAGAAAGTAGAACAGACCTTCCTGCTCTGGTCCTCTCATTTTCCAAAGAGGTTAGAAGTTAGATTGCTAGAGGTCATATGGAGAAATGGTGGCCACGGTGGGATTAGAACCCGGGTCTTCAATTTTCTGGCTCCTCTTTCCTAATTCTTAGTCATGAGCTGTGATGCTGGGCTCAAGCACATGCTCCTTGTGTCCCTTGACCACGGTTGAACTCTATGAGTCAGAGAGCTTTGAAGAGCCCAGCCCGGGGATGCCGGCATGTCCAGGCCGCAGCTCTTAGTGACATTGGGGCTTGGTTTTTGGCTTTGGGCTTTTAGGTTTTTTCCCCAAAAGAGCCATTCATCGATAACTTCCTTGCTGCCCATGAGTCACTTTGTGGCATGCCGAGCTAAAAATCGGCTGGCCCCCAAGGAACTCAGTCCACTTGGTGGACCAGTGTTCCATCAGATCTGCCCAGCTTTGTTTCCTCTGCTATTGAACAAATATGATGGAAAAGCGTTTTAGAAATACAGAGCACTTTAGAAATACTAATAGACTCATCGGCAACATAATGTGAATGGATTGTGATTTATAATTCAGAACATCAGATGTTTGTACTAGGACTAAGTCAACTTAGGTCTTAGAATGTTAGAATTGCGGACGATCTCAATGTAGAATGTTGAGACAAAGAACATTAGACCATAGAATGTTAGAGTGCAGCCCATTAGAGCTGAAATAGACCTTAAAATATACAGTACTAGAACCCAGGCTGTCACAACTGGAGGAACCTTAGAACATAGCATATTAGATCATAGAATGTTAGAACCCAGGCTGTCAAAGCTGGAAGGGGCCTGGAACATAGGATATTAGATCACAGAATGTTAGAACCCAGGCTGTCAAAGCTGAAAAGGGCCTTAGAACATAGACTGTTAAACCATAGAATGTCATAATTCTGTGTGTTAGAGCTGAGCAGGACCTAGCTGGAAGGAACTTGGAACATGGAATTCTAGAATGAAGAACAAAGGTTAGACCAAACAATGTTAGAAACCAGACCATTGGAAGGAACTTTAGAACGTAGAATGTTAGAACCCGGACTGTTAGAATTAGAAGGGACCTGTAATGATCAGCTAGTTCAAGACTATATGCTATTCAGTGGGGCCCTTTTTATCTAAAGGGGTCCAAGTTGTTGGGGGACTTGCTTTTTGAGTCTCAGCTGGTTTTTTTCACTCCCCCCCCAATATCCACTGAGCTGCTTTTAAGGCTAACAAAAAAAAAGTCTGTAGGAGGAAAGTGATTTGAGGAGCTCCAGCTGCCTGCCCCTCTCTGAATGGCCCTCTTTCATCAGGAAATGTCAAGACAAGTGCATTTTCAATCCCAGATAACAAGCGAAGCTGCCGTCCCCTAAGAGCCATTTGCCTCTCGGCAGGGAGGGTCTCCAGACCTGGGTCATCTTGGCTCTTGGCTGAGGAACAACCCAGCTGATTTCTGTCCCGACCTCGGGGCTGCTTTGTCGAGGGGGCTGGGGAGAAGAGTCCATCTGGAAGGATGTGAGGATGTGCGGGCCCTCCAGGATGAGCCCCTTGAACCTGGCTGACTTCTGCCTCTCTCTGCAGCCAGCATCGCACCCCCGCTGCCGGGAGCTTCCCGGGCCCCGTCTGTACGTATGCACCCACCCCTCAACCCTGCTTCCTGACTGGGACTGGCTTCCCGGAAGACAAGGCTGTTGCTGCCAACGTGCTGAGGGCTGTGGTTTGGGGAAAGATGGCTGTTGGGTTTTTCCTTTCTTCTACAGCTTTTTGCTGTAACTTGAGTCCCATGTGTTTCCTAGAGAAGACAGTGGCCCGGGTTGGGGGGGGGCACGGGGAGCTTCTCCCCCTCAGGCAAGTCACTTAACTCCAGTTTGCCTCAGTTTCCTCATCTGTAAAAGGGGACAATATAGCACCTATATTAAGGATCAGATGAGATAAAAAATTATAAAGCATTTAGCCCAGTTAGGTATTATCATTATTGTTATTATTATTATTAAACTCAGTTTGAGGGCTGTGAGTGGAGTAATGGAAAGGCCACTGACTCTGGACCCAGAGGTCTCAGGTTCAAATCTCTGTTCTACCACCTACCGCCTGGGTGGCCTCAGGTGAGTCACTTTCTTTGGACTCAGTTTCCTCAGCAGCAGAATGTGGGGGTTGGACTGGACAAGTTTCGGGGGTCCCTCCCAGCTCAGAGTCTGTGATCCTGTACCAACATGACGTGTCTTGGAGGGAGCAGGAGGGCAGATGGGACCGTTACTGGGATGCTTCCCCCCACCAAATTTTCACATACAGAGAAATGAGAACATTCTAGGTGTATTTCCCTGAGTCTGGTAGGTTGTTCTAGAGCATTTATGGGAGCAGACAAAAGCCTTTCATGGGAGATCTGGGTCAGTGAGTCTGTTTCTTTAGGCAGACAGGCCAAAATTTTACTCGTATGTGTCCGTGTGTGCGCGCGTATGCTCACGCTCACATGGAAAAGCTAAGTTAACAACATAGGGCCATGTCGAGTCCTCAGTCTGGCCAGCTGTAAAATGAGGAGGTCGGGCAAAGGGCCTCTGAAGTTCTTTCCAACTTAGATGTCGGCTTCTTTAGGCAGTGTGTGTAAGAAGAAAGATTTAGAATCAGAAGATGTAGACACCTGCCCTATTGTTATTCCTTACTCTGTGACAAAGTCATAGAGCCTCTCTGGGCCTCAGTTTCCCTAACTGTAAAATGAGGAAGTTAAACTAGATGGATGCTTAAGGTCCCTTCCAGCTCCATAACCCCATGAGGCGTGGTGGTGTTGGGAGAGAGCTTTGGAGACAGAAGCCCAGGGGTAGGGCTAGGTGGTTCCTGATGACTTGAGTGGATTTGAGTAAATGCCATGTCCTTTCTGGGCCTCACTTTCCTCATCTGTAAAAATGAAAGGATTGTACTAAGAACATGACCACTATCCTGCATCCGAATAGAATAATACTTTACATCTGGAAGGGACCTTAGAGATTGTATAATCCAGTGCCCTCATTTTACAGATAAAGAAGCTGAGGCTCAGATCCACTTTCTGAATATATGCAAGAAGTTGTGGAGGGTTTTTTAGCTCTTCTATGTCCATGTATGTATGGCAGTTAGACTGTTCTTCCTTTAAGGTCCAGCGCAGCCATGAAGCCTTTGCCTTCACTCTAATCCCCCACACCCCCCACACCCCTAGTCCCACACGAAGATCATTACTGTTCTGACTACTGACCTCTCTGGCTTCCTCTAAGTCCCAACTAAAATCCCACCTCCTACAGGAAGCCTTCCTCAACCCCTCTTAATTCCAGTGCCTTCCCTCCGTTCATTATTTCCTATTTATTCTATGTATAGTGTGCTTTGTGTATATTTTCTTGCATATTGTCTTCCCGGTTAGATTGTAAGCTCCTTGAGGGCAGGAACTGTCTTCTGCCTCCTTTTGTATCCTCAGCACTAAGTACAGTGCCCAGCACATAGCAGGCACTTGATTGATTGATGAGAACATAAATCTTGAACTAAAAGGCACCTCAGAAGCCATTCAGCCCAAGCCCCTCATTTTACAGATGAGGAAACTGAGGTCCAAGGAGGATAAGTGACTTGTCTAGAGTTACACAACTAGTAAGCATCTGAGGCAGGATCTGAACCCAGGTCTTGCATGCCTGACTCAAAGTCCAGCGCCTACTCTAAACGTCGCTGCCGTATGAGAAAGTCAGGATTGAATCGTCACAGTCTCAGACATGGCTGGCACCTCAGTGGTCACCTATCTCCTCCGTCCAGCCCCTGAACGGGAATCCTCTCAACTCGTCCCCGGCAAGTGGTCATTCGTCCAGTCTGGGGAGGTAGACCACCAGGGAGGGGGAGCCCGATGTGCTTTGAAATATGTCTCATTGTCAGGCAGCTCTTTCCTCCCGAGGGAGTCTAAGCACACTTGGGGCTCTCAGAACACTGTCAGTCACCTGTAAGGTCCAGTTTGTCTCCATACACTCTTCTTACTTTCTAGGTGTACTCGGTATTTACTGCTTCTTTTGTCTGATTTCATCTGCTTTGAAATTCTGGGTGTGTCTTCTAATATTGTACCTACCTTCTGTGTTATCTAGCTTGGTGTGTATGTACAGAAGCAGCGTTCTCCCTTTGTGTGTGTGTGTGTGTGTGTG